TAATTATTTGCTTTAGTGAAATTTGAAAGTGGATTTGTTATATAATTGTGACACAGGATTTTTCTGAGCCACTTTGCCAACCAGAGACCTGTACAGCCAGCAATTTTTTTTTTTTATTTGACATGAGATATTTATTTTGTGAAACAATGCAAGCGATTTTCAATCCCCACATACTATTTAAGTGCAACATGGTACAGTCATGTGTAATCTCTTTACACGATAGTGCATGTAGTCCTTAGCCTTTAGTTATTGCACAAAAATGATAAAGACCAGTGACCAGGACATGCAGACTGACTGGCAAATCGGCCTACACAATGAAAAATCAGAACAGTACACCGACTGGAATGGTCAAACGATTTAAGTCAAATGTTTTAATGGCGTAATTAAAATAAGGGTTCAAACATGTTTTCAATATATTAATTTCTTTAAAGTCATGTTCAGGCAAGGTGCTGTTTAAAAAAACCACTACTAGCTTTGTCCACAGATTTAAGTTATCAAAAGTTACCTCCCTCCAACATCTGCCTAGGCCTTGCTCAGCCCCAGGCCTGCTACTGGAGGTACCCTGCCCACTCAGCCCACCTGTGTTACAGCTTGTACTGTTTTTGGCGGTTCCTGAGCTCTTGTTCCGCTTCCAAGAAGAACAGAATATGCTGATAATTAAAGGGTGAGGATGGACAAAGAAGAATTTTACTGAGCAACAGGACAGCTCTCAGTGGAGAGGGAACTTGGGATGGTTCCCCACCCCATAGTCAGATGGTTTCCCTCCCAGTGTGGCTGAGTCCAGGGCTTTTATGGGCTCAGAATAGGGGAGTGCATACTGATTGGTTTATGAGTATTCAAAGAAAGACTAAAGCAAAGGCACCACTCAAGGATGCGCACAGCAATATAGAAAAACAATTAGAAAAGGGTGGGTATATGCAAAATAGGTGAAGGGTGGAGATCAGAGGAAAGCCACCAGATGGGAACGTGGGTTCTCAATCTGGTCCATGGATTTGACTTGTAGCTTGGCTTTCAGGCTTTAAACTGCCTGGTTTGGAGGTGGAGTTTCACCAGGGACGGCCCCCATCTGCCTAGGCATTTGTCTGCCTCCTGCCATTAACATTTGCATTCTAGAATGTTGAAGACTTTGCTCTTTAAAGGAATACTATGGTAAAAACCTTTTTAATTTTATTTTATTTTATATTTTATTTATTTTAGATGAAGTCTTGCTGCATTGCTGAGGCTGGAGTGCGGTGGTGCGATCTCGGCTTACTGCAACCTCCTGCTCCTGGGTTCAAGCAATTCTCCTGCCTGAGCCTCCTGAGTAGCTGAGGTTACGGGGCACACCACCACAGCTGGATAATTTTTGTATTTTTAGTAGAGATAGAGTTTCACCATGTTGGCCAGGCTGATCTTGAACTCTTGACCTCTAGTGATCCACTTGCCTCAGCCTCCCAAATTGCTGGGATTACCGGTGTGAGCCACCACACCCAGCCTATGCCTTTTTTTTAAATATAGGCTATCACCCCTCTATTTTTGTAAATGTGGACGGTATTTCTTCTAAAGACAAACATTAAGATGTTTTCTGGTTCAGGCTACAGTATTAAGCAGTAATTCATCTTGTGCTTGTGAACTAGATAACATTTTTCTATATATAAATATCTTGTGTATTTTACTTGGGTTACTTTACAAAAATAGATTCTTGTTTAGTTCACTAATTCTCAGAAGTGTGGTGTCCCCAGCTAACAGCATCACCTGGGAACATACTAGAAATGCACATTCTCAGGCCCCACCCCAGATCTGCTATTCAGAAACTCAAGGTAGAGCCCAGCAACCTGTGCCTTCAAAAGCCCTTTGGGTTCCACTGCATGGTAAAGTTTGATAACTACTGGTTCAGATAGTTTACATACAGTTACTAGAAATCTCAGCTTTTATCACTTGAGGACTGCATTTGGTTTGTTTCCAACTGGGTTAGGAACTGTGGCAGTTCTATAGATGAAAAGCTGATAGCATGGGCAGCCCCACAAGAGTTACTTTCATTGTTTGTTTCCAGTGGTTGGAATTTTTTTTTTTTTTTTTTTTTTTTTTTTTTTTTGACGGAGTCTTGCTCTGTCGCCAGGCTGGAGCACAGTGGCATTATCTTGGCTCACTACAACCTCCACCTCCCAGGTTCAAGCAGTTACCCTGCCTCAGCCTCCCGAGTAGCTGTGACTATATGCAGTGCCACCATAACCAGCTAATTTTTTTTTTTTTTTTTTTTTTTTTTTTTTGTATTTTTACCAGAGACAGGGTTTTACCATGTTGGCCATGAACTCCTGACCTCGTGATCTGCCCACCTTGGCCTCCCAAAGTACTGAGATTACAGGTGTGAGACAAAATGGGAACTCTTTTTTTTTTTTTGAGACGGAGTTTCGCTCTTGTTACCCAGGCTGGAGTGCAATGGCGCGATCTCAGCTCACCGCAACCTCCGCCTCCTGGGTTCAAGCAATTCTCCTGCCTCAGCCTCCTGAGTAGCTGGGATTACAGGCACGCGCCACCATGCCCAGCTAATTTTTTGTATTTTTAGTAGAGACGGGGTTTTACCATGTTGACCAGGATGGTCTCGATCTCTTGACCTTGTGATCCGCCCGCCTTGGCCTCCCAAAGTGCTGGGATTACAGGCGTGAGCCACCACGCCCGGCCTGGGAACTCTTTTTTTTTAAAAAGAACTAGATCTCCAGCTAGGGGTGGTAACTCACACTTATAATTCCAACATTTTGGGAGGCCAAGGCAGGTGGATCGCCTGAGGTCAGGAGTTCAAGACCAACCTGGTCAACATGGGAAAACCCCATCACTACTAAAAATACAAAAAGTTAGCCAGACGTGATGGTGGGCGCCTAGAATCCCAGCTACTTGGGAGGCTGAGGCAGGAGAATCACTTGAACCTGGGAGGCGGAGATTGCAGCGAGCCCAGATTGCACCATTGCACTCCAGCCTGAGTAAGAAGAGCAAAACTCCATCTCAAAAAAAGAAAAAAATCTATGACTGGGCTCGGTGGCTCACACTTGCAATCCCAGCACTTTGGGAGGCCAAGGTGGGTGGATCACAAGGTCAGGAGTTCAAGACCAGCCTGACCAACATGGTGAAACCCCGTCTCTACTAAAAATACAAAAATTAGCCTGGAGTGGTGGCACGTGCCTATAATCCCAGCTACTCAGGAGGCTAAGGCAGGAGAATCACTTGATCCTGGGAGGCGGAGATTGCAGTGAGACGAGATCGAACCGCTATATTCCAGCCTGATAGAGCGAGACTCTGTCTCAAACAAACAAACAAAAAATCTACAGCAGATTTTTTTTTTAAATTTGTTTAACTTAGGAAGATAATTACTTGCAACAAGTATAACTGGTTTGGAGTGGTATCTGACTGGCATTTTCTATAGATCTTGTTCATGCTATTGATTAGAATCAGTGACTGGAAAACTGTTAAAGGAAAGCTTACAACATTCCCTTTTATGCATATTGAGAAGTGAAAGATTTCCCAAAGCAAGGGCAAACCTAACAACTTTATTTTCTAAATGTTTATAATTCAAGAGTGAGGGAGGAGTGGAATATTTTTTAAGAAAGCCCTTACCCAATCAAATGAATCTGCAATTTCTAACTAGTTTATAGCAAAAGATGTGGAGAATTTAGTATTCAGAATTTCCTGTGATTATTTGTTTACTTGTAGACTCAGGTGAGATTAATAAAACTGAGACAAGAAGGCAACACTCTGAAATTAAGCAGTCCCTTTTGGTGTGTAGGCCTACTCACATGGTAATCAACATTCTATATCTACAGTCTCTTTATGCTGGTATTATTTAATCCATTTCCACATACAACTTATCTACTTTCTAAGCAGAGTAAAAGGTTTAAACTGATGACTTTTAAGATATATAAAACAGGCTGAGCACCGTGGTACACACTTGTGATCCCACATGTTGGGAGACTGAGGTGGGAGGATTGCCTGAGCCTGGGAGTTCAAGACCAGTCTAGACAACATGGTAAAACTCCATCTCTAGAAAAAAAAACTTTTTTAAAGCTGATTGTGGTGGCGCACACCACAGTCCCAGCTACTGGGAGGTAGAGGTTGGAGGATGGCTTGAATCTGGGAGGCAAAGGTTGCAGGGAGCTATGATCATGGCACTGTACTCCATCTTGGGCAACAGAGTAAGACACTGTCTCAAGAGGAAAGAGAAAAAGATATAAAACATACCTAAAATTGGCAACAGACTTAACAGATTTTTTTCCATTTCTGAGAACATAATATGTAACTATACAATTTCTTGTAAAATACTTTAATAATAAGTGACAAATTTATTATTGATTCAGTGAAATAGGTCAGATATTTTGAAAAGACTTTAGTCAGAAATGAAATGAAATTTGCAGAGAATTTATATAAAACAGATTTTTTTTTTTTTTTGATTTTCAAGTTTAATTTCTTTCTTTCTTTCTTTCTTTCTTTTTTTTTTTCCCCTTTCTTTGAGACAGGGTCTCTGTCACCCAGGCTGGGGCTCCCAGACTCAAGCTATCCTCACACCTCAGCTTCCCGAGTAGATGGGACTACAGGCTCGTGCCACTATGCTTGACTAAATTTGTATTTGTTGAGATGGGGTTTTGCCATGTTGCCCAGGCCAGTCTCCAGCTCCAGGATCATGTGATCTGCCTGCCTTGGCCTCTCAAAGTGCTGGGATTACAGGCATGAGTCACCGTGCCTGGCCCTCAAGTTCAATTCCTAACTAAATAATAGACCTCAAGTTACTAGGGGTAGGGGTGGATAATCTAATAAATGGAGACTATGTGGAAAAGATTAAAGGCATAGTATTCATTTTGTCTGCATGAAATAAAAAGAATGTTTTTTGAACTTTTTCTTCAGTCTACCCTCATGGTCCTTGATTTTCTTTAAACTGGAGAAATTAGTTTCCAGTATTGTGTTTGACTTTGTTCATAAACTACTACATGTCAGCTTATCTTAGCCAGCTATTTTATTTGTTTATGATTCTCTAGTTGTCTGAGGGAAGCCAAAAGCATGCAAGCCTACAGAAAAGCATTGAAAAAGCGAAAATTGGCCGATGTGAAACGGTAAGTTTGTGTCTATAGATTCTTTTAATAAAGACAATTCTAAATATCTAAATAGAGTAAGGACACAGAGCTTCCTGCGAGGAGGATGCATTTCCACCAGAAGAGAAGGGGATCATAGCCAAAGATATGAACATTTGACCTGGTAGGATTCACTAGTTGTGAGTCTAGATTTTATTATATGTGGCAGCATAGCATAGAAGCATAAACCCTAGAGCCAGACTGCCTGAGTTTGAAAGTCTCCTCAATTCTGTTTTCACTTTTCTCTGTTGCAAAATGGGAAATAATAAAATCGATTACACTTCATTGGGTTATTGTGTGGATTAAACTAGTTAATATTTGCAAAGCACCTAGAAGAAGACCTGGTACATGGTAAGCCCTGTGTAAATGTTTATGTAAATTTTTAAGAGTCTTTTTAAAAAAATTTTTGCACAAAACAAACTGAAAACCATCAACATGATATTTTTGTGGCCTTGTAATATTTTAAAATTCTAAAAATAAATATTGACCTACCATTTTATTAAATATTAGATTAGAGATTTTAAAAAATCGTTTCGTTTTCTATTTTCATTGTTATCTCAACTATAGATTTATGACTTTAAAAAAACATTGAAGATCAGCATGAACCACTAAACATTTCTTCCAAGTCTCTGTGTCACTAGATTGGGAAAGAAAGCAACTGGAAAAGTTGTCACATAGTAGAAAGGGATATAGCAAAGCTTTACAGTGGCTTTATGCTTTCAGTTATTTCACATATATTCTTTCATGTGTGTCATCAGCACAGTCACAGATAGGAATTGGAGAATGGTCATTTCTGAAGAATATTCAAGGAAAGGCAAATTCTGGGCATAAGCTGAAGCTGTTCTGTTTCTTCTTCAGTTGACAATAGCAACTACCACTTCTTTATTTGATTCTTTTTGTTTTTCGAAACACTGGTAATAACTTGTAGAACCATCTTCAACTAACGGTGACATATGTGTGCCCAGAAGTTATCAGCCAGTCTACTGTTACTCAGTCCACTGGAACCAGTGCATCTGGGAGTGGTTGGTGGGGAACCCACCAGCAAACATAGTTGTTGCCGGCAAATAACAGAAGAGTTTAGTGGTTCAGAAATGTTCCTAAGAAAGATGAAGTCTTGTGCTCATCCTGAGTTTACCAGCCAGGACTTTTCAGAACTACCTAGCCCCTGTCTGCTAGATATTATTTGTGATGATGGTGGTGATGCTGCTGCTGGTAAAGAAGAAAACTAGCTAACATGTATATTCTGCTTATTCTGAGCCAGGCAATTACTGTTCTAAATGCATTTTGTATATTTATTGAATCCTACTAGCAGTCTAGAAAGGTGGCTACCATTACTGTTTCCATTTTGCTTTTGAGGACCTGGAGGCACAAAGAGGTTAAATAACTTGGCAAAGATCTCAGTGCTAGTAATTGTCTAACATTGTTTCAATGCATGATATCTGGAAAGCTATAATTATATTCACATTGGATGTTCACCGCTTTGCTTTTCCTGTCTTCCTTAACTTTTTTCTCCTCTTGATTTTTTTTTTTTTTTTTTTTTTTGGTTTATTTTTTAGAGATGGAGTATCTCTGTATTGCTCAGGTTGGCCTTGAACTCCTGGGCCCAAGTGATCCTCCTGCCTCAGTCTCTTAAGTAGCTGGTACTACAGCAGGCACCACCACACTTGGTGGCAGTGTTTTGTTTGTGTGTGTTTTTTTTTAAAGCATGTATAATTTGGGTATTGATGGCAAATAATGACCATCTTCTTATATTGTAGTTATTTAAAAATCTCTACTGAGCTGTGCTAATATGATATGCATTAACCATGTGTGGCTATTTGTATTTAAATAAAAATTAGCTACAATTAAATTTAGTCTCTCAGTCACAGTGGCCACATTGCATATGCTGAGTCACCATATGTGTCTAGTGGCTCTTTCAGTGGAGAGTGCAAATCTAGAACATTTTCCTCACTGCTGAGAGTTCTGTTGGACTCTGCTGCTTCTAAGCGTGTTGCTCTGTATATGCAGTCTCTTGTACAAATACTAGCAAAGGAACTTTCTTCACTTTGGAACCAAAAGGAACTAAAAGCAAAGTTGAAAAATACAATTAAAAGATATAAGGTAGCTGGAAACCTTACAAGTCCAGTTAGGCAGTTTGAACTTTACTTGATTTTGCCTCAGATTTATCCTGTAATTCTGTACTATAATCTTTGCCAGCATTTGGATTTTGTTTGGGCTTACTTTTCAGGTTTCAGAAATACAAATTGAATACATATAGCACTATGATTTCTACCTGCTAGTGAGAAATATGGCTAGACATTTCAAATGGTTTTTATTGGATCCTATTGTATTTTGAAGCTTTATTCTGATTTTACCTTTAAAGAACAGGTGGTGGGAGTCCTCAGGCTACAATTGTTATTTCTTTAAATGTATATAAAATATAAATAATATATTTAAATATTCTTAAAATCTTTTAAATGTCTAGAACACTTTTAAGGATAATTGTATAATGATCGATGTTGACTTAAAACGTCACATACATAGACATAATCTTGTGAAACTACTCAAAAAGTAGTGTAATTTTTTTCTCTAACATATGACAACATGATCATCTTAGAGTTCTAACATGAACTTCTCACCTATTTATGAGCATTCCATTCTACATATTAACTTCCACTTAGTTATTCAATATATATAAAAGATGCTTGAGATTTCAAGATGAGAATTGAGCTTGTTCTTATACTGTGAATATCTGTGTGTCTATATTTATACATGTAATGTGAAAACTCCAATGCACATCATTTATGAGAAATAAAATGAAATTGTTATAAAATGTATGACCTTACAACATACAGAATTTTGTTTGTCTGAATTGAACATAAAACTCTTTGGAATGCAGGAAGAACGAACTATGCTGGCAAAAGAACTTTCTTCACTTCGAGACCAAAGGGAACAACTAAAGGCAGAAGTAGAAAAATACAAAGATTGTGACCCACAAGTCGTGGAAGAAATACGTAAGTTTGTGTCATAACTTAGAGATCTTTAATTTTAATAATGAAAAAGACTTTATACTTCTGGTTGCCTGCTAACCATTCCCCTTGTATATGAGAAAATAAAACCAGTTAAGACAGTATTCTGTTTGTAGTACTCTACAATTTTGTATTTTTAATATAGTAGGAAAACATTGCCTTAGTATTTTTAATAAATTTTAATGTGCTGGGCACGTTGGCTCACGCCTATAATCCCAGCACTTTGGGAGGCTGAGGTGGGTAGATTGTTTGAGCTCAGGAGTTCAAGACCAGTCTAGCTAACATGGAGAAATCCCATCGCTACAAAAAAAACACACAAAAATTAGCCAAGTGTGGTGACACATGCCTGTAGTCCCAGCTACTCAGGAGGCTGGGGATGGAAGGATCCTTCAAGCCCAGGAGGTCGAAGCTGCAGTGTGTTGTCCCTGTGCTGTTTGTGCCATTGCACTCCTGCCTGGGTGATAAAGTAGGACCCTGTCTCAAAAAAAAAAGAGAGAAGTCTTAATGTTAGAGAATTGAACAGTGACAACTTTGAAATTATAAGCATTTTAAAATTAAGGAAAATGTGTGGGATAGAAGGATAAAGACATAAAATATAAGCTTAGAGAACTGAGGAGTCAGAAAAAGAGCTAATTTGGCCTTAAGAACCTTGATTCCTTAAAGAATTCCGTCACTATCTTCTAGGAAGAATGATACCATAAGTAAAAGAGTTTGCAAGTTGCAGAAAATTAGTCTGTACCTTGAGTTGCCTTTTTTTTTTTTTTTTTTTGAGACGGAGTTTCACTCTTGTTACCCAGGCTGGAGTGCAATGGCGCGATCTCGGCTCACCACAACCTCCGCCTCCTGGGTTCAGGCAATTCTGCTGCCTCAGCCTCCTGAGTAGCTGGGATTACAGGCACGCGCCACCATGCCCAGCTAAGTTTTTGTATTTTTAGTAGAGACGGGGTTTCACCATGTTGACCAGGATGGTCTCGATCTCTTGACCTCGTGATCCACCTGCCTCGGCCTCCCAAAGTGCTGGGATTACAGGCTTGAGCCACCGCGCCCGGCCCGAGTTGCCTTTTAAATATACCAGTGATTTTTTTTCCTTCTTTTAAACAAGAGTCCCCAGAGCTTTGTTTTGAATAATGTTTATATATTTATGTAAAGATTGAAATTTGAACATTTGAGGAGATAAAAGAGTATATTATAAAGACATAGCATTTAATTACTTGGGAAAATATTTATAACTTCTTCATATTTTTCTGTCTTAGCCTTTTACTTAGGAAACTTTACCAAGTGAAATTTATAGAAAAACTGTTATTATAGTATGTGATGGAAGGCTTGGAAAGAAATGGAAAATATTTGGTATGTTAAAAAACCTGAGAATAGTTTGATTGCAACTGCTGGCCTAGTCCTTGGCAGTGGTCTTTATAATTAAATAATTTTTAAGCAGTTCAGTTAGTGGAAATCTAAAGTTAAACTTTATTTTAGAGACAGGTCGCTCCTTTCCACAACTCCAGGAGGCACCATTCACATATATGGACTACATGGCCTAGGTGGTGATATGTAGTGTCACTGGTTCAGCTGATTACCCAGGGGATTTTCAAAGAGAGGTGGAGGCAGAACTCTCCCAGCCAGTCGTTCTCTGTAAAGTAAGCATTTGGGGAGACATGTTAGCTCTTTTATGCTAACCACAGATTCCTTTGTCATCATCCTGCAGAAGAAAGTGCTAACCAAATCTACACCTACAAAGTTAACCACCTTAATCTGTTTGAAAGTTTTAACTAATACCAGATGATCCTCAGTGAGCGCAAGCACATGACAGCAGGAGACAAAATAGGAAGTTACTGCTAGGAAGCTAGACCTGCACATGAGTCTTCTTCAAAATGAAACACAGACTGCTTGTTCAGGAGGACTTAGAACATTGTATACCTTATCTGGCGCACCTTCTCATTCTCTTGAAAGAGAACTTCAAAAACAGTTTACTTACCC